GCTAGGCCCTTGTTTGTTTGTTTGTTTGTTTGCTTTTTATATTTTCTTATTCAATTCAGTCCAATGTTCTAACTTTTTGAGATTTGGATGGATCCTTTTCATCTTCTAATGTGTTAACTATGCCAGCCAGCTTTACGTCAGCTGAAAATTCAGTAATCAAGACAAGCATTCTTTTATCAAAGTTATTGATAAATGAAAATTCACACAGCAAAGGCCAAGCACAAATCCCTTTGAACTTCTACTAGAGGTTTCTTTCCAAGATGAAAATGAATCATTAATAATAATTCTGAATATGTTTCTCCAATGAGTTCTGAATCTACTTAATATATAACCTCAAACATAAAAAGTACCAAGAGACTTCATCTAATGTTTTGTTAGCATTAAAGTAAACTATATATGCAGGATCCTCTTGATCTACCAATATGGTAGTTTAGACAGTTTCTCTGAGTTTTTCTAAAACTAGTCTTTCTCCTGATAAGCTACCTCAGCTTTAGATATACCTTTTCCTCCTGCCTAGAAAAGCACCTCTCCCTTATCACCCCCCATCCAATATTTAGATGCGTCTTTGCTGGAAACTTCTAGCTTCCCTGGTAGGTTTATGCCTTCAAAGTTGAGAGTCAAACAGAGTTTCCTGCTAGAGATTCCAACTTCCCCAAAAAATCACTACTCTTTTTTTTGCACCCCTGATCTGCCCTGATGCCATGGTGATTAATAGGCCTAGAGGAGTTCTGCCCATCAAACTCAGTAGAAGTGGTGAGAGTTTGGGGTAACGAGAACCATACCTAATGGGCAATAATACACAGTACTATCATGAATTCCCTCCTTTTGCTGTAGTCCAAAGATATAGTACCTGATGCTCTGGCAACACCCCTAGTTGTGTCCCTTCATTCTTTTTCTTCACCAAGATGTGTAGGTATTAGATTTTGCCCTACTATGAGAGTCAGATACTGCTGTAATTTTGGAAGTGTGTCATTTGCTGCCGTAGTGACTATCTCTTCATGATCCTGTCACACCCACCATTTTCCCACCTTTGAAGATTTCAATTAACCTTTCCCTGGAGTATGTTCAAATGTACCAAATAACGGCCTTTTGTTTTTAAGGCTGAATTCTATAAAGACACTTAAAAGTTCCCAAGCCCTTTCACTAAACTGGAACAAAGATTAATTATCCTGTGTAAAAAATAATGAAAAGGAGTTAGTCTGACAGGACTTTCAAATACAAGACTCAAGAAAAGCATGAAAAGGTAAACAAGAAAGAGAAATCATAATGGACTTATTAAAGTTGAACTGTTTACATTCCTATATGGAAAAATTATATTTGTAACCCATGAGACCTTTCTCATTATTAGGGTAGTAGGAGGGAAAAGAATTTGGAACTCAAAGTTTTATAAACAAATGTTAGAAATTTTTCTGCATGCAACTGGGAAATAAGATACACAGGCAAAGGGTATAGAAATCTATCTTACCCTACAGGAGAATAGAAGGGGAAGGGAATAAGGGAAGGGGGTGTGGTAATAGAAGGGAGAATAGATGGGGTGAAGGGGAAATCAGAATGCAGGCCAACATGGGGTGAGGGGGGGGGATAGATGGGGAGAAAATTTGGAGCTCAGAATCTTGTGGAAGTGAAAAACTAAAATAAAGAAATAAATTGAAGAAAAGAAAAAAAAAGAACTACTTCTACTTAGAGTAGTTCGTTTGTGTCTAATGACTCAAGTTCAGTAAAGGAAATAGTTATTCTCTTATTATCTATATGTTTATCTTGGGTTTCTACTCCCTATTACCCCTTTTTTGTTCTCTTTTGCTCTTCAAGAAAGAAAAGAGAAGTAAAATAAAAGTTGAACAGTTTGGTACAAGGTAGTGTGTTATAGTGGGAAGACCACAGCATTTGGAGTCTGAAGACCTGGGTTTTCATCTAGACTTTACTATTGATTAGCTGTCTGACCATGGGAAAAGTCACAACTTCTCTAAGCCTTAATTTGTTCATTTGAAAACTGAGAAGGTTGGACTAGATAATATCTAAGGTCCTTTTCAGCTCCAAATCCTAAGGTCTTCCGCGTTTATAGAATTAAATATCTTATTATGGAAAATTTCTTGTTGTAAATTGATGGGAGCTAGATCTGAGTACTTCATTTAAATGTCAAGTAAAACATTTACCTTAGGATCACAGCTTGAGAACATACTAATTTGGAACCAGTGACTAAGACATCTACAATTCCCTGATGGCAATGTACCAAATTTCAGTTTCAGTTTTTTGAACCAGAGCAACTACATCATAAAATAACAACAGATAATCTCAAGGTTATTAGGACCTGGGGTTTGGCTAAGGTGACTGGGGAAGGCATGGATTATTGCAGGCATGGGAGGCAGGGAGTTACTTCTTTAAAAATATATTAGTATTCACAATAGCATTGATTTCTTGAGAACTTTAGGTACAGCTAAGGTTGCCAGCTGGTCAGTAAGGGACTACTGATCAACATTTTATCACAAAAGATGGTTTTAGTTGCTTCTTCTGTTTTTATAGCCAATTTTTTTGTTTATTTTTCATTTTGATTCAGATAAACCCAGAAACAACTGAAAAGTTTCAGGATCAAACCAATTAATTCATGCCACATGTGTGTATGTATATGTATGTATATATACAAATATGTATGTATATTATATATGAGATACATGATAAAATACTTCATAACTGATTGAAACAATTAGCCAATAAATGTTATTAAGCAATTGTTATGTTCCCAGTACCTTCTTAAGCACTGGAGAAACAAAAAAAAAAGCTAAAACAGAGTCCTGATGCTAAAGAAGCCCACATTCTAAGTGGAACAGATAAAATATAAATAACTATGTAAGTATACAAATAAAAATAATATATGTGTGTATATATGTGTCTTGTGTATATTTATAGCTATAGCCACAGAGACACACACAATGTAAATGAAAAGTGATATTGGAAGGAAGGGATCAGCAGCACAACTGGGAATGGCCTCCTATGGAAGGTATGCTGAGTCTTGAAGGAAGCCAGGGAGAGTAGGAACAAAGGTGAAGAGGCACAACCTTCCAGACATAGGGGAGAGCCAGTGCAAAGGCCTAGAATATTGTGTGAGTAAGGAAGGGTAGCTGTATTATAGAGTACATGGAGAGGACTGAAATACAGAAAGATTGGAAAGGAACAAAGGAGCCAGCTTGTGAAGGGCTTTAAATGCCAAACTACTCAACTCAATTCACCTAGAATTTAAGATCCTACTACATGCCAGACACTGTATTAAGTGCTGGAGATATAAAGAAAGGAAAAAGGCCCCGCTTTCAAGGCTTTCGTTTTATATTTGATCCTGAATGTCATAGAGAGTCCTGAGAGTTTATTGAATAGGAAATTGACACGGCCAGACCTGCACTTTATAAAAATCATTTTGGCAGCTGAGTGAAGTATGGATTAGTGAGGGGGGAGAATTGAGGTAGGGAGACCAAGTGATAGGATACTACTGTGCTATAAGAAATGATGAGCTCGATAATCTTAGAAAAACATGGAAAGACTGGCACAAATTATAAAAAGCAGATAATAAATAATAAAGAGCAAATAATAAATGAGCAGAACCAAGAGAACATTGTATACGTAACAGCAATATTGTTTTAAGAATGACTTTGAGTGAATAAGTTATTTTGACTATTATAAATACCTAAATTAACTATAAAGGACATATGAAGAAAAATGGGGTCTATATCCAGAGAAAGAACTGATAAATAAAAACATGTATAGAATAAATTTACATATATACATATATGTATATATACATACATATACATATATAATATACCTATTTGTGTCTAATGGTGACCATCTCTGGGAGGAGAGGAGGAAAAAAAGAAATTTATATGATAACTTTGTTATATATTTAAAAGGAATAGGAAATTGTATGTAGTATTTGTGCAGTTTCATGTGCATTCATCTTTTTTATTATACTATGTTATAGAAATGCTTGTTTTATTCCATAAAATTAAAAATAAAATAAATTTAAAATAAAACAAAACAAAACAAAAAAAAAGGCTTTCAAAACAAGAGGCGATGACAGCCTGTACAAGGGTGATGGTCGTATGCGTAGAGAGAAGGGGACACATAAGAGAAATGTTGAGAAAGTAAAAATGGCAAGATCTGATAACTATTTGGAAATATGGGATGAATACTCTTAAGAGATAAGAATGACACCTAGTTTGCAAATCTGGGTAACTGGGAGGATGTATCCTCGGTGGTAACAGAAAGTTTGTTGGCAAGACAGGAGTGTTAAAAGATAAAGGTCATGAGTTCTGTTTCAGGCATGTTGAATCTGAGATGCCAGTGTACTCAAAAGACAATTGGTGGTATGTGACTAGACTTTAGAAATGATATTGGAGTTGGATATTTAGATTTGGGAATCATCTGCATAGAGGTGATAACTGAACTCATAGACACTGATGAGATTACCAAATGAGAGAGGGTAAAGAGAGAACAGAAGAGGGTCCAAGAAAAAATCCTGGAGGACCCTAGCAAAGGAGACTGAGGAATGGTCAGATAGAAAGGAAAAGAACCAGGAGAGAGCAGTGTTTCCAAAACCTTCTTATTAAGTTTTCAGCAGACAGGATCATTTTAAGCTAGACATACACTGGGTACGGAAATGAAAATTTTAAAAACCCCTTTGTTGTTATTCATCTTATACAAACTAATATTTGCTAATGGCATTAAAAAATCACCACTAAGTTTCTTTAGTGTAGCATTGACAAAGCCATTTAACAAGTCTTCTCCCAGACTTTTAGGCATAAGATAATTGTGGGGCAGGGGAGGGGGGAAGATCAAATATTCTGTCACATTTAGACTCAAAAGTAACATATTAATAGGACCTGTAAGGGAAGACAGAAGAAAAATTGATTAAGCAGAGTTCAGGTTCCCTCATTACATAACCACTGTTTGATTAATATGCATGAGACTAATGAAAAAATTCAGTGACACTATGTAACACTGAGTGTTCATACCTGTCCTATATCTATAGCTGGATTAATGCTGAAGCTGGCATCCATGACAATGTCAGTTCTGATGTTCTGTATGAAAACAAAATTAACATATTAAACAGTAAACTATATTTAGCAATGACTTCAATAGTTCAAGGATCTGTGATTTTATCAGTGTAGGAACTCTCTCAAGATATGCAGACCATGGTCCCTCCCTAGATTAGGAAATGTTTTCATGAGCTGTCCTCTGGTGTTGAGCATTTCCAAATATATCTTGGGCTTGTCCATAGTCAATAAGCACACAATCTATCACAAGACCTAGCTTTAAAATCTTTCCAGTTTGGTAGGATGTGCCAAACATGCTTGGGCTCAACTGGATAGACTTAAAGAACCCAGTATCTCCTCTATACCACAATAATCTGTCAGTAGGATTTTAGTGGAGGCTTATTATTAATAAGCAATATAAATATTTTCTTTCTTGGGGGGGAGAGATAAAGGTGAACCGAAAGAGCCAAAGAAAAGTTATACTTCTGGAAAAAATCCTGAAAAATACTAAACTACTTTGTTAGTTTAAATTTTCACATTTATTTTAAAGAAATGAAAGAGTATGGAAGTTTCTATCATAGTCAAGATTAATATCATTCCCATATCTGATTGCCTACTATCTCAGGGAGGGGGTGAGGGAAAGAGGGAGAAAAGGAGGAATAGAATTTGGAACTCAAGACTTAAAAAAAATGTTAAAAAATTTTTTAACATGGAATTGGGGGAAAATTATATATAAATATATATTATACGTATGAAAACAAGATTAATGTCAATGCAAAATATAATGTTTCAGCAGAGATTGAAAAAAAATCTCCTATCCAAATCTATTTGTAATACTGAATACTTTTTATAAGTAGGTGTTATACTTAATTTTACAAAATTCAGCTCATGGAATTTCACTTCCCCTCGTTTCATCCAAAAGCATGGCATAAGGATATGTCTAATAGCAAAAAGCCACACTCTCAGTAAAGGGCACGGGGTCTTAGCACCAATTTTCAATTAATGTTTAGTTCATCAATACTCTGCTTTCTCTTAAGGCTTGTGTCTCCAAGATGCTGTGCACAATTGTAACATACAGTCTAGAAAAATATCAAGGGCCTGATATCTTTATGCATGCTAACTGACTTGCCAGAAGAATCCAAATCAAAGTCTCCATATTGCCTTCTCTTTGGCTAGAAATAGAAGGTACTTGATTGCATGTGCCAACTGCCACACCCTTACCTTGTGACCCATAGATGTTCCTGCTTGTTTGCTCAGTTGCTAACTCTGTAGTTCAGCAAAATGACTATCGCTCAGGGTGATAGTCTATGTTACTGTCTATGTTACCAGAAAAATCTATTTAGATATCTATCTACCTCTGATGCTGGAAGTCAGAACGTTAGGATTTATTATTATCTATGCTTGTGTTTTATTCTCTAATAAATGTAAGCTTCTTGAGGCCAGGAACTATATTTTCTGTAAATTTATACTTCCCAAAATGTCTAGCCAAATGCTCTGTACACAGCACGTTCTTAATAAATATTTGATTGAATGAATGAATATACAAATAATTAATCCAGAAACTCTAAGGTCTACACGAGTTGCCCAATGTGTAGAATACTCAAAGCTGCCTACTTGAAGAAGTGTCATTTCTGGTTTTCTGGGCAAGTAGAAAAAAGAACAAAGTGAAACCAAAATTAATGAGGGTGATCATTTCAACATTGAAACAAGGAGACTGGGAAAGTATTGCCACCACATTTATACTATGTCCTGGTGAAAAATAAAGTTTGATTAGAATAAAGACCATTGAAAGAAAGCTCATTGAAGTCTAAATGATCATCTGGAAAGTAATTTCCTTTTTTGCCCTGCTATACTTCTGAAAAGAGTTTATGTGGCTTAACATAGAGTGATCCACCTCAGGAAATTGGCATGCCCAGTGTCTTTCTTAAATGAAAAAAAAATGGAGATTTAGGAGGAACTGGACAACCCAATGTTGCTCTAGAAGAAAAAAAACTCTTACCTTGGGCACAAAAAGAAGTAACATGAACTTTCTGAACTCTTGTCTGAAAAACTCAGCTTTATTTTAACAAATAAGATGACAAAATGAAATGCACTCCTTACCTTATGTGCTCCTGTTAAGCAGTCAACTTCAACCTCAGAACAGGCTGCTCCATAAACAAAGTATGGATAAACATCACCTTCTCCTTTCACCCAGTCCATGTCTGCTTTGTAGCCCCTGGTTCAATTTAATTCAATAATCATGTATTAATTAAATGTCTATTGTGTTCAAGGAACTACAGTAGGTAATAAAGACACAAACACAAAAATGAAACAGTCCTACCCTTAAAGAGCTTATATTCTACTGGGAGGATGCAACATGTATACCAATAAGGGAGCATAGCATACCCAGGACAAAGTATGCTCAGAAGTGTCCAAAGCATGGGCAGCTGGGTGGTGCAGTAAATAGAGTTCTGGCCTTAGAGTCAGGAGTCAAATATAGCCTCAGACATTTGACATTTACTAGCTGTGTGACCCTGGGCAAGTCACTTAAGCCCGATTGCCTCACCAAAAAAAGAAAAGGAAAAAAAAAAAAAGAAGGATCCAAAGCTATAAGGGTCATATGGAATAAGGACTGAGAACAAGTACTGGATTTGGGAATCAAGAGCTCATTAGTAACCTTGGAGAGAATAGTTAGAGTAGATAGGTCAAGTCAGTAGTGATTATAGGGAGCTGAGGAGAGAGTGGGTTATGGCAAAGTGAAGGGGGAAGTGAGGACTCATTAAGTGCCTATTAAGTATCAGACACTGTGCTAAGTGCTTTAAATATATACAAATAAGTTCTTTACAGATATCATTTAATTCTTACAATAACCCTGGAAGGTAAATGCTATTTTTATCCCCATTTTACCATTGAGGAAACTAAGATAATGAATGTGGATTAATAGACTGACAGTCTTCGAGCTGATGATACATGAACATTATATCCAACTGGATAGTGATAAGACGGTGCTATTCCAAAAAAACTTATTGACCATTCATGTTAAGGAGAGTCATGGTACAGATGATCACCCCCAAAAATCATTTATATTGACTTTGAAATGTTTTTAAGCTTACCTATAAACATATAAGTAAAATTGAAGTAACAATTCAAACAAAATTAACAAAACCACACTATGAACTGAGTAGGGGAGTCCGAAAGTTTTCTAGATTTTCCATTCTGTTCCCTTTTGCCCAGATCTTTTCCCTGCTTCCCATTCATGCAGGAAATGGACAGCAAAACTTCTCCAACTAATGCTAAACAGTAGCCTAAATTCACCTCTTTTTTTCTTTATATTCACTCAATTGCAGTACTTGTTTTCTGGGAGGTAGTGGAGAAAAGGTCTGGTATAGTGGAGAAAAGGTCTGGCCTTGGAGTCAGGAAGATGTGGGTTCAAATTCTGTCTTTGTCATATATTAGCTCAGTTACTGTAGGAAAATCAATTAATCTTTCAGTACCCCCAGACAACTTTTTAAGACTATGAATAAGCATGATGTATCAGTGAAGGAAATTTTCATATTTAGAATTTTCCATGCCCATGAACTCACAGGTATGGACCAAATATTTTTCTTAATATTGAAATAAACACATATATTACATAATGGACACACATATGTATGTATACACACACACATACACATATTCTAATAAGATCATTAAATGATTCTGAATCAGTATTGCAGAATACAAAGAACATTGGTTATGGAGTCAGAATACTTAGGTTCAAATCCTTGTTCCATCACTACCTATGTGACCTTGAGTGAGTCATAATTTCTCTGGGCTTCACAGTTTCCTCATCTGCAAAATGATGAGGTGGGGGTAGATCAGATGATCTCTAAGGCTCCTTTGAACATTAAAACTATGATCTTTATATGTTGCAAATCCCATGATTATTTGGCTACAAGCAGCATAGGCAAAGAATATTATCATCAAAAGATATTCAATGGTTACTTTGCTTAAGTCAATACAAAGCAAGATTTGTTAAAGGTACCTTACAGAACCGACTGTAATTAAACATGGTTTCATAAGAGGAATATAAATGAGAAGTAGGTACAGATCATAAAACATATATATTCTCTTTCCCTTCAACATTTGGGGTGGTGGGGGGGAACCTATATTCAAATGTTCCCAAACCTAGAGACATGATTTAAAAGAATTTGAAGAGGAAAGCAATAAATATGGTTAAAGGTGAGAAATTGGTTTTAGCATGGATAGAAAAGGAACTAATTAATTATTCTTGAGAAGATAAGACTGAATGTGGCCTTAATAATCTTCATATATGGTAAGGATTCTTAGGAGGAGGGAGAAGGGTATCTTTTATATTTAGTCAACTTATACTCATGCCCTCTGCGTATACTCCTGTAAAATGGTATAATAGCAATATAGTTCTCAAGAGTTACAAGGGTCATCTTCCCTTGTAGGGATGTAAACAGTTTGCCCTTATTAATAACATGTTTTCTGTCCTGTTTACCTTTTTATGCCTCTCTTGAGTCTTGTATTTGAAGATCAAATTTTCTGTTGAGCTCTGGTTTTTTCATCAAGAAGGCTTGGAAGTCTCCGATTTTGTTGAATGTCCATCTCCTACCCTGAAAGATTATGTTCAATTTCACTGGGTAGTTGATCCTTGGTCATAATCCAAGCTCCTTTGCCTTATGGAATATCATATTCCACACCCTCTGATCTTTTAATGTAGAAGCTGCAAGGTCCTACATAATCCTGATAGTGGTTCCATGATATTTAAATTGCTTTTTTCCGGCTGCTTGCAATATTTTCTCTTTGGCCTGGTAATTTTGGAATTCGGCTACAATGTTCCTTGGTGTTTTCAGTTTGGGATTCTTTCGATGACTATTTTACCTTCTGTGTCTAGGACCTCAGGGCAGTTTTCTTTGGTGATTTCCTGAAAGATGCTGTCCAGGCTCTTTTGTTCATCATGGTTTCAGGTAGACCAATATTTTTTAAATTGTCTCTCCTGGACCTATTTTCTAGGTCAGTTGCTTTACCAATGAGATATTTTACATTTTCTTCTATTTTTTCATTCTTTTGTTTCTGTTTGACTGATACTTGATATCTCATAGAGTAATTAGCTTCCGCTTGCCCAATTCTAATTTTTAAGGAATTGTTTTCTTCTATTAGATTTTACAACTCTTTTTCCATTTGGCCCATTTTACTTTTTAAGGAGTTCTCTTCAGCGAGTTTTTGTGCCTCCTTTTCCATTTGGCCAATTCTACTTTTTAAGGACTTGTTTGCTACAGTTAATTTTTGTCCTTCCTTTTCCAAGCTATTAACCCTCTTCTGCATACCTATCATTTGTTTTCCCAATTTTTCTTCTACCTCTCTTATTTGGCTTTTAAAATCCTTTTAAGCTCTCCCAAGAAGATTTTTGGGCTTGAGAGCAATTCATATTCCCCTTTGAGGTTTTGGATGTGGGTATATTGACAATGTTGTCCTCTTCTGAATTTGTGCTTTGATCTTCCCTGTCCCCAGAATCTATGGTCATTGTCCATTTCTGCTTTTTGTTCATGGTATTTGCCTAATTCCTTGGTTTTAGAGTTGAGCTCTCCTGCTGGAGTGCAGGGGACACTGACCCAAGCTTTTTGTGCTAGGAACCTAGTACCTAGGCACTGACTTTGTGTGCTAGGGCCTCAGGTGCTAGCAGCTAGAGGCTCTGGAAGTCTGGCAGCTTACCTGATGCTGAATTGAGCTCTCAGGGTGTGGGAAGTCTGGCCTCTGGGGGACACCTGCTCACCCAGGCTTTGCACTCAAATGTTTGGCTGCTTGAAGATGTCTTCCAGCCTGGAGCTGTGCCTTGTGGAGTTGTGCTTCCTAGATATGTGCTGAAGCAGCAGGAGATTTGGCTACTTGAAAATGCCAGTGCATGTGGTGGTTTTCCAAGCTAGTGTCTACTGGTTCCCCTGCCTGTGCTGAGGTACTCAGGGGTCTTGGTGTCGGTGCTTGCCTGCTCCAACACCCTGAGACTCAGGGTCTCCTCCTGGCTTGTTGAGGTGGGGCTTGCAGCTGACTTGCTGGGACACCTCCCATCCTGTACTGCTCCCCCTCCCCCAGAGTGAGAGGGCCTTTCCCATTAATCCCTCAAGCTTCCTGGGCTACAAGACTGCTGCACCCCATCTTTCTGCTGGCTCATTTGTTCCAGGGTTTTTACTGGGGTGATATTTTCTGGGCTTTTAGAGGTCAATAAGGGAGGGTAAGAGCAGCTTACTTCTTACTACACCATCTTGGCTCTTGGAAGCAGAACCTATCATTTATATTTAGGTAGAGACCATATAAGAGAAAAGTATATCATTGGAAACTTATGGACATGAGTATGAGAGTCAAAAGACCAATTTTGCTGCTAAAATTAATTGTTGGATCACTGAAATGACAGGCACGATTTCTAAGAAAAAGAGTTGCTTTAGGATTAATCTAGTAGCAATGTGCAAGACAGAATGGAGAAAGGAAAAAGTGCTCCTCTCTACCTGAAAGCAGTCAAGATGATGTAGTATAGAGATGATGTTATGTAAATCATTACCTGGAGACTTTGTGGTACTGGGGATTCCCACTGTCCCCTTCCCAGTTTGCTAGAGACTTAACTGCAAAGTAGTCAGTCAATCATCCAGTCAATAAACATTTGTTAGGGACAGGACCTATTATGTACAAGGCACTACGCTAAGCACTGGGGATACAAAAGAGGCAAAAAATTATCTTTACCCTCTCGGGGTTCACAATCCAATGATCACTCTCTATGTGTGTAAAGCTAAGAAGTCTGTTCTCTGAGGAACCTAGACAATATAGTGCCCAGTGATTGACTCACTCATCCCTCTCTGCGAAAGTGTGTATATATATATTCATGTGTGTGTGAGTTCTCTCTGGGCCAGTTCCTCATATGATGATCTAAGGAAAGTAAATCTTCTCTTCTATTACCCCGGGAGAATGAGGACCTCCCAATTGACTGAAAGGGACAGCTAGGTAGTGCAGTGGATAGAATGCCCAGCTGGAGTCAGGAAGACCTGAGTGCAAACCTGACCTCAGACACTTACTAGCTGTGTGACCCTGGGTATGTCACTTAACCCTGTTTGCCTCAGTTTCCTCATGAGTTGGAGAAGGAAACAGAAAATCAGTCAAAAATCCTTGCCAAGAAAACCCCAAAAGGAGTCACAGGGAGTCAGAAACAACTGAAAAATGCTTAAACAACAACAAAAAACTCTGACTAAATATCCTTTTCTACAGAGAAAACAACAAATTTTTATGTAAAACATTGACATAACAGGTATAAAATAATAGGATTCTTCTTGAAATAGCCAATATTTCATCAGTAATACTTTTGCTGAAAATCAAATATCACTCCACTTAATAGAATTTAAAAGAGAAAATATACAAAATGGATACTCTAAAGTAAAAATAAAATGTAAATATTTAACATACAATGTAAAAAGAAAAGTCCTATATCATTATAAGCATAGTCTACATTCTAATATTTCATATAGAGAATAATTTTGGGAAAAAAATAAATATTCCTTACCTAAAATATCCAGTGGCTGACAGACTAATGCTTTGGGCAAAGGCATCATTAACCTATAAAAAGAAATATATACTAAAAATAAAATATATTTTATCAAATAATGAAATAATAACACCACTAAATAAGAGGCCCAAACCAACAAGGGAAAATATGACTGGGTTGCATGCTACCCCATGATTATCTGGGAGATTATTTCTCCTGAGAAATAAGACAATCAATCGAGTCACATTCAAACACAAACACGTTTGTGCAATCACACTATCCTTGTTCTTGGCAGCTCTCATTTAATTAAAGATGCTAATTCTACTTAAAGCTTTGGGAAGGTTTCAAGTAGAAATAACATCTTTAATTAAATGAGAGCTGCCAAGAACAAGAACAGTATGATTACACAAACATGTTTGAGTTTGAATATATATATATATATGTATATATACATATATATATATATACTTTTCTTCTGAGAAAATACAAGTGCCTTGAAGGCAATGACCATTTCTTTTTCAACTCTGTACCATCTACTTTTTAAATGCATAACCTTAATTTTAAAGAAACTCAGTGAAAAGTACTGAATTATTGATAAATTAATAACATCATTACAAATGAGTCAATAGTTTTTGTTCTTCCTTAGCTGAGAGACTCATCCCTAAGGATTTATTTCTCATGATAATTCTACAAAATTAACATGCATTAAATGTTTTAATGACTTTGTGTTAGTCTCAACTCTTCTCCAATTTACTCCGTGCTAATTAATGCCTTTTCCTAATGATTTTTTTTTGAAAGTAGAGGAACATACTCTTCCAAATCCAAACAGAAAGTTCCAGTCCAGAAGACTTTCTCCATGGGTAGCTATCACATG